GAGTTAGGAATTGTCTACAAATCAAATACTGTATGTATGTGCACGCACACGTGCATTTCTGCCATCACACTATTTAGCTTAGCTGAGAAATGTAACTATCAATGACTCACTGTGATGTGGTGTTATTTTAATACTTCTTATAGCTGGGCTTCTTCAAGAGACAGTATGAGAAAATGACACAGGATATAGAAGACGTCGATGAAATTACAGAACTCACAAAGGACAAAGATTGAAGACGATGAGTTATGTGGATAAAGAGGGAGATCTGAGCCACCAACAGTAATTGTGATCCAGTCGGTTCTTCAGCTGGAGTGCCTTAAAGCTTAGTAACATTTAAACATTTTTAATGAAAGTGTCTTTTTATAGATGAAAATATTTTACAGGTTCTACTCTATTGTGAGAGTAACTGCAGGACAGTTTGGTTTTTTCAAAAATGATTTATGGTGCCTTTTCTTATAAATTTTTGCCTTTCAAACAAACTCAGCCCTTAGAACTGGCAGGTCCGGAGTTTACAGTAACATATTGCGCCAGCAACCCTTCTCCTGATACACTGCAGAGTGAAACAGAGCAACTTATTTCAGATTATTGTGGAGCAGCATCAGTTCGTAATTCAGTTGACAAGTACCATATGTGTAAAGGACATTTTCTATTAAGTTGATGATGAATGTGTGGTGAATACTGCTTCCAGACTGGGAGAAGAAAACTCATTTTTTCATTGACTAGTTCCATCCTTATTGTTTTAAAGAAGTAATTTGCACCAGCAAACCTTTGTCTTAACTAATATATAAAGCGGGAACTGTGTATGAAGATGTTTGTCTGGGTGCTACAGGACAACTGGATGGGCAAACTGTTCCAAAAGTTCACCATATTCCTTGCATTAAGGTCACAACTGAATTACTCAAGTAGATTGTTTTGGGGAAATATTGCCAAATGGTGTGTATAACTGCCTTCTGCATACTTTCTCTTCAAGAAGAAAATACGAATTTCATAATCACTTACAACATGTTCTCTGCAATGTTATGATTGGTTTTCAGATTTCATCTTGAGAAGCACTGCCACTACTGTTACACTGGGCTTTATGCTCACAGTCCCTCTGACATCAGTTTGGCTTTTGATGTAAATAGGGAAGACAGATCTTGCCTTTAATTCTGTACTGAAAGATTTTGCAAGACTAAGAGCGTGAGGTGAACTAAAGGGGATAATGACTGAGGAAGTATGCATGTTAGGACAGAGGGTAGTGAAGATCTAAGCTCTGTAAACTGTTTACTGCACTTGTTTCTTTAGCATCTCAGTGCCTTCCAGGAGACCAAAGTTCAGTATGACCTCCTTACCTGTCACATTTTATTTGGTCCCACACATTAATCTCTTGATGAAGTTAACTTACGTTTTACACAATAAAGTACTGTAGTGCTCTGGAAGGAGCTCTGAACACTTGGGTGATACTGTGTTGGTTACACACCTCAAGTTTATCACATGCTGTTATGCTGCCTGCTTTTAATGAAAGCTCAGTCTTAAAAAGGCCCATGCTGTAAGACTGTAAACAGTCAGGGGATTGGCCTTTTAGCTGCCTTTCTCTTCCAAGGCTGGCAGTTATGCTTTTAATCGTTCGTGAGAGAAGATGTGTGTGTTGTCCTTATGTATGCTGCCATGCAAGTGAGATTGTTTCCAACTCGAGGTGATTTACTTGAAGAGTAAAACATTGAAATGTGCCTGATTGAGAACCCAAAGTCATGTTTTCTTTCCCCCAAAGCTAGATTATAATTATGCTTTAGGCACCTTTCAGATTACTTTCTGAGGGACTCTTCAAAAACTAGGCTTGAGCACATTTGAAAGTTTTACTCAGTCTCTTCTAATCAGTAATCAGTCAGGAGCCACCCATGTCTTTGGCAAGTGACAGCTTCATTTGCAGTGATAGCTGGATTGTGCTCAGTGTAGTTTTATATGTGTTTTGGATTTTTTTTTATATCTATGAGATGTTATGTTTTGGGGTAGGGGTTTTTTTAACATTCTGAAAAACAATCCAGATTCTGATCTCAACTGTTAAACAAGACTGTTGCCATCAGCTGAGTAAAAAAAAAAAAAAAGAAGAAAGTAGCAATTGCATAAAGCTAAAGAATAAGCTCCTGACTTGTAATTGTAAACCCTGAGGGCAAATGCTCTGAAAGTAAAGATAAAAATTTGTCTGCCTCATTTCTTGTATAAACTTGCGAGGAAGAAAACAAAACCCTACACCCGTATGTGTGGGAAGCTCCTACATAACCAGGGTCATGCACTCCAGGCCAGAGGGGGAATTTCACAATGCAGCAGATGGCAGCATCCTTCATTTCTGGTGCTGCTTGCAAGGGAAATTTAGGCATTCAGCCAGATTTCCTTCTTCCATCTTTGGTGGGAGGTACAGGTCAGTATCTGACATACAACTTTTTTGGGGATTTAACCGTTTCTCTATCAGGTAGCAATGACTCGCTTCAGTAGTCTTCACTGGGATTTATTTTGTCCCAGACAACAGGATTTTCCCCCCAGCCTGGACAGAATACTTTTTCCCAAAATAAAGGGAAGGCATAGCAATGGGTAAAGTTTTTGTATCCTAACCACTTCAAGTTACTAGTTTATTTTTCTTTTACAATTAATACTTAAATGGCTAATTCAGTTTTTGTAATGGGTGAGTCTATTGCACTTTTAAGTTGGCACAGCCGCAAATAATGCTGGAAATATTATGTATATTTTGTACTATGTGCAAAGGGTTGGTTTGGTTTTTTTTAGTTTTACTTTTTTAAAACAGCACATTACAGGTGAAATAATATTCTGAAATGCTGAACTTCAGCATGTGCTTGCGTGTGTGCTTGCAGCACGAAAAGTCAGGAATACCTTCAGCAAACTCAAGTTATATGTGATTCTGGTTTTGAAATCTAGCTGCTGACTTCTTGTAGTACTAGAATCAAGTCCAAAATCAGAATTAGTTTCATATGAGCCTTTGTATAGTTTTGGGATGTACAAGAGAGTTTATAATCAAATGATTTATGAAAACTAGCATGTAAGCTCTATGGGAGCAGGGACTGTACACTGTGGTGCCTACCTGAGGGCCTAACAGTGTTACTACAATAAAAACAAGAATACTGCTGAAGAGAGACTCATTTATTTTTAAACAGCACCCTAAAGAGAAGAAATGCTACTGAAAAAGCACTACATAAAATGGGGCCAAATATGTCTTTGTTCCAGTAGCACACAGTGAAAACCCTAAGGGGATGCCTCTACTAGGTATCCAGAGAAGCTGCACTTGAAGTCCTGTAGTGTTACCCTCTTGAATATAACCTACTAGCAAGCTATATTGTAGTGTTAAGTCAGTTCGCATTATAGCTTTGGGTGCATAGTCGGTGTTAAAACCTTATCATGGTCACGCCTTCCTATACACATGGGCTTATCATCCCTGGCTTCTAAAATTACACCATATCCTGCCAGTCTCGTGCCTTGCACTTTATACTATGTACAGAATTGGTCAGCAGTAGCATGTTCTGACACCAGCTCTGGCTACTCCCCACCATACATTGGAAAAGCCAGATATAACATCTAAGCAGGAGCACAGTGGGAAAGAAGAGAGGGAGGAATGTGGCTGTCAACAGGAAGACAACAGGAGGACAGTCATGGCAGTAATTACCACCTGAAAACTAGCCACTTTCACGGAGCTTCCTTTTTTTCCACTTTCAACTCCTCCATACTCTTTACTGCAGTACATAATCATTCAGGCTACCAACTTTTAACACTTCCGTAATATAGAACCAGATGACCCTAATCTTGTGGCACAAAACTCCCATCTTTCACTAAGTCTCAATGGTCTGCAGAATTGAAAGTCAGATTCCTTATACACTGACTTGTGTGTGTTACCCGCACAACAAAAGCTTGCAAATTAAAGACCAAAGAAGATTAAGGTATGAAAATGCACCTCAAAATCTACACCTAATTGCCTCAACTTTTTATTGCCTTTAAAGGTAATAAAGTGTACATAATTTTCACAGTCTCAGAAAAGCTGAGTCCTGTCTTTTATGTCAACCTTTCTGCCCTCATTTATGGTCAATTATTCATATGCAATCACAGGCTTCAGTGTGCTAGCAGCTTTTAAAACATATTTGCCTCTTTCTCTTAAAATAGTCAAACTGGAAGTTTTGACACAGAACTGCTATAAAGCTACATCAGGATGCTAATTTTTGTAACACTTGCTAAGGTCAAATTGTATGGTTGTTTTTTAAAAAACGGGCCTAAGGTACTCAAAAGAAACTGCTGACTTATAGTCATCGGCCTGTTCTTAACTCTCTTTCTTCAACTACCTCCACAGGACACTTAATGAAAGAGCTCAAGATTGAGTTTTCAGAGCTTTTGGGGGGGCAAGGGGTAGCACTGTCTTGCTTTACAGACAATTTCACTTTGTTAACAATTAGTTTTAGCGGGTTTTTTTCCTTTTAATGTTTTTAATGGACCAAATGAATACATTAATGTATAAAACTACAAATTCCTTGACCAGCTATGGGAAAAGCGAGCTGACAGAAAAGCCAAAAATCTAGTTTAAAGGTGAGAAATCTTAACAGCTTCATTCCTGAGTGCGACAGTGGCACTTTGAAAGCTGAAGCGAGTGCCTGCTATTTCCCAGCACAGCCAGCACCTGGGCATGCTAATGGTTTTTTTTTCTTTAATGCATTGAAGGTCTCCAGGGAAATGGCAAGTTAATTTGGTGTCCTCCCCCGCCGAGGTGTGTTTACCAGAACCAAGACTAATTAGCTCTCCGGACAGTATGTGAATGCAAACATGTCAGCTTTTATTTCCCTTCCTCTAGCTCCCATCTAATCTCACTCTGTTGCACCTTCAACCAGTGAACACATTAGGAAGTCTGCTGTCAGTCTCTGAAGCTCAGGAGCAGGAGATGCAAGGAAGGGGTAGTTTGCTGCGATTTGTAAGGTCGTGGTGGACAAATACAGTCACGTGCAAGGCTGAGAGTGGCAGGGGGGGGGGGGGCCCCCCCCCCCCCGCCCCCCCGCCTCTCGGCTGCCATCTCCTGGGTAGGCTCCTTATGACACAGTCCCGTATGTCCCCCCTCCGTTTATCTGATGACAATCCATCAGTTACTGTTTTCATAGTACGCTTCAGGCTGAGCTTCTCTTGAGAACAGAGCAGAATGAAAGATCAAAATCAGGAAAGGGAACTCTTAAAATGAAGCAATGCTGGCATATGGACATTCTGCCAGACAAAAGGATGGATCAGCGTATTCAAATGTTGCCTGCCAAGACCAAGACATCTTTTCAGAAGGACAAATTCTCACTCTGAAGACATGCGCTTCCCTTCCACAAACACCCCTCACTTGGCAGATGTCTACAGGACTCACACGATGACCCTCTGGCCTGCAGCGTCTGTTCCTCTGAACATCTGTCTGCACCTGGAGCCACCACCTCCACTGCGCTCTGTGGCAATGTTACAAGACTCGCAGAGGGGTGGGTTTACCCTCCCCGATAGCCAAGGCAGAGAAGCAGCTAGACTCATCCCAGAAAGCTAGGACTGCATTGTATATTGATCTGCAGCTGCCTATTGTCCCACTCATGGACCTCGCCAGAACACAAGGTAGCCCTCATCCAGCAGCCTAGTCCTGCATGTGTGGAAACCAGGACATGCAGCCACATCGTTCCCTGACATGCAGTCAGACACAGCTGGGATTCATCCCCTGGCCTGGAAATTTGGAAGCACTTCTGGGTCGCTCCAGACATAGCCTTAGGCAGCTATCTTAAACCACACTGATTTGCCCTCTTACGATAATATTTCCACAGCAGAGAGGGTAGCCCTACAGAGGGAGCCCAAACACTGAGCTCCAAGTATGGACTTAACTTTCAGTGAGATACATTTTACCTCTAATTATGTACATCATCCCTCCTAGGGGCATTTCCATTTCGCTTTTAGATGCCAGCTGAAGAACCCAAAGTTACACAAGACTGATACATCATTGTTCCAGAACAAAGCCGTACTTGCCTCATGCACAGCTAGGGACACAAAATGACATTTCATTGTTTTGACCATGGCAGCGTACACACATTGTAACACTCAGCTATGACTCAGTACATCTCTTCCATTCATTGTTCCTGGTCACTGTGGGGAAGTACACAATTATTCTTTCTCTTCTTTTCTGCACCCTCCTTCCCAGCTGCACTGCTGATGGGGAAGGTGCACTTAAGGTCACCCTGGATAAACCTTCCAGGAGACTGCAGCACTAGAGAGGCACTAGAGCAACCTGAATTGCCCCTGATTATAGGGCCCCAAGTACAATTTAACTGTTCTAAATACCACTGCTTTTCTGTATCAGAGCACCACACCAGTATGCAAGCACTGCATAGGTTTTACTTCATTTATAAACTATTCACTACACGGCAAGCTAGCCATTTATTTTTGTGAAACTGATACACTAATTAATTGCATGGTAACAGTAAGCAGGAACATGGAAAAACGAACACTAAAAACGGGCAAGTTTGTGTATTTCTTTCTTTTCTAAAAACAGAGTTACTTGACAGAGGAAGTGATCTGTACTCAGGATTCTGTACAATTCATGGTAAAAATGACGTTCAAATAGCAGAGTGCTCTGCAACCTCCAAAGCAAAGGAAAATTCAACTTTGAACTTGCTCAACTCTACCTAGATAATAGGGCCCACATGGTTTGGAGGTTGCATATGTGTTCCTCCCACAGAGGAAGGACTTGCTCACTTCCATGAAGGAAAGCGCATCAGTAAGTTAACAGGCACAGCTTAACCATGCTTCTGCCTCAAGGTGTATGTTTCATTGGGGTTTACTTAATCCAGATACAATAACCATCACTTAAGTATTAAAACTGATTGAGATCACTGGGGGGAAAAAATATTGCCTATTTTTCTCAGTTTATTTTGTGCAGCTATCAGCTGTTTGTAGATTTTTACTGCAGACACAATGAAATGGATTATACAGCTGAGCCTTAACTTTTGTGTGATGTAATGATACAAAACCTTGAAGTAAAGAGAAGTAAAATGATTTGCTCATTTTCCTTCTTTTATATCTATCTTGTCTACACTGACAATGATGACTAGATAAATCTTCCTCTCAGTATTATTAAAAATGCCCTACACAATTCGACTTTGAACTCTTAGCATCTAAACACTATCACTGCACATTACAATAATATAAAGTAAGCGATCTTACTGCGAAGAGCAGCCCATTGTTTCCAGTGGAAGCGCAGGCATACTGTATCACTCTTTTTTAATTAGGTTTCAAAACAGTAACAAGAGAAAAACTGTATTTAAATCCAGATGAATATGAATGCATATATAAACTGCAGAAAGTTCAATAGACTCACTTTCCTTTGAAAAACTAATTGATTTTGATGGCTCTGAATCCTAACATGTCTAAAGTCAAACTACTAAATCTAATTAAAATTACAGTTGTCTATTTGTAATAATAGCTGGGGTTTTTTTCAGCAGCACCATATAATTACACACCCAAAAAAGCTCCTTCAAAATGAATCATGTCTAGACATCATTAGGTAGTTACAGGTTTGCGTGTTACTGCTAATTCAAGTTTGTTGCTGGTAAAGTATTAGATCTAACTTTGTACATATTTTTGATGCAACAGGCTTGTAATATCAGCCGCACAGTAAAACCGTTTTTGTGAGACAGAGCTACTGGAATATAACCACTACTAAAAAGTTAGTAACTCTGGGGTATAGTTTATATTTTCTTCTCCGTCTGTACCAAAATGTTTAATCTACTTCAAGTAGCTTTCATGTTTCAAGAACATCAAAATAGCATAAAGCTTGCAAACCGATTCTACAGTCATATAAAATTAAACTACTCAGGACAAGATTAAAAAAAAAATCCAGTTGTCCTGTTGTGACCTCCCATTCAGACAGTGAACACAGACTACCAATGTTAAGGCATTAAAGCAGTATATATCCAGAGGACTAAACACCTTGCAACCAAGAGTTTTAGGGAAGATTGTTCTAAAAACTGACTCCATGTTAAAATGCACAAAGAGATGATTCCAAAGGAGAGTCAAGAACACTTAAACCCCCTAATTATTAATTTCATTCAGTCCTAATTAAATTATTCAGATTGAAATGTCTATTACAACTGCCTAAAAACATATAGATTCTCTGTAAAAACAACTCAAACCTAAACCAGTATGTTCATTAGGAACAGTAACACTTTATTTTTAAAAGAGTACAGTTATTTTTCTGAATTTGCCCAAAAGCATTCCTTGTTTTCTTTCCAAGAGTATTCGTCCTCATAAATCTCCTGCAAATATAAACAAAGAATGAGAAATATTGTGGGAGTCTGCTACATACAACCACAAGCCAGGCCAAACAACTCAACAGCCATCCTGCTATTATTTACTGATCACAACAGGACTACACAGCACTACACTGATTGGCAAACAGAAAAGAGGGCAGGACCCTTGGAACATACTGACTTACATGTGGGCACAAGCTGAACTTCGGGCTGAGCCCCATTACATTTAGAAGGGCCCATCTATACTGAAGTAAATTCAAGAAAGAGATCTAGAAGAAATGATGTAAAAGCTGTAGAGTACACAGAACTTGTGTCTGAAACTGAAATAATTTTTAGGAGAGTATTTAAGTGTATAAAAAAATGTCAGTATTAAAAAAAATTAAAATTAACAATACACAAAACACAGTAAGTATTAGATCTGCAGGACAAACTGGACTACACAGCAGCAACCCAGGCCTAAGCAGCAAACTCAGCAGGGCTCTGACCCAATGATTATTCTTTCTGTGACCGCAGAACTCCAGCCTCCTGAAAGAGGTGTCAGAAAGTGCAGTAACGTGGAGAGTATCACTTTTACCACACGCCAAGTTCTGCCCAGGAGAGAAGGCAGAGGTAATGCTCATTACTTCCATGCAACACTGTGGTTATGCAATGAGGCTCTTTCTAGACCCAGGCTGGTCTCTCCACACATTGTTGTAGGCCCATACTACCTTTGGGACCTCTGCTCATCCCTTCATTGTGTGCTGTCGCTTAATGCTTTGTGCTTTCTCAAGGCCATGAGGATGAGGGGCAGATAGAAAGACAAGAAATGCCACTTTTACTTGCAAACTGCAACGCTGTCCAAAGCAAAGCTGACTCATCCACAAGCCTGTGCAGGACTGAGTTTTGCCACACAAACGATAAGAGCTCAGGGCTCCTTCACTTTGACCCCAGGATCGCATTAAAATGAAGAGGAGATGGATGGTACAGGTAAGGGAGAGCCTTCCCAGTATTAAAATGAAGAGGAGATGGATGGTACAGGTAATGGAGAGCCTTCCCGGTGTCCTACCTGCCGCAGATGGGCCTGGCTGCATTAGAAGAAACTGGTGCTAGACATTGGCATCCCATCAGGAGCAACTGCTGCCAGTAATGCTTCAGCTGCTTCCCTTAAGAGCAGCAGCAGCTTCTAGCCCAACTGTCTAAGACTCTGGCACAGGCCTAAAATCAAATTTGTCCCCACACATACCTTTTTCCATATTGGGACGGATGCTTTTAAGGTATTGATGCAGTACATTACAGCTTCAAGGGATTCTGCTCTGTGTGGAGAGGAGACTGCAATAATTACACTTGCTTCAGTTATTGGAACCACACTAGGGAGAGAAAAGGAACAACAGCAGCTTTAGCTAATGCCTAACATCAAGAGCACCCAAAAGTTGTGGCCATGTCACGTCAGTATTCTGGCCACACACTCTCCTGACTCATTCATACTAAGCAAGTGTCAAGCCATGTCCAAAAGATTATACACTTCTTAAAAGGAAAAAAAAAAAAACCCACAACCAAAATCAATACCAGATGCAAGAATTCCACACTTCAGAATAAATAAACCCACCAGACACAGGGTTTTCTCTTCTTTTTTTTTTTTAAATACAGTCTATGGAATTAAGGGGAAAATTGCTAATGTGCAACAATGCATAGTAAACTCACTGGAACCTGGCTTAACAGTGAACAGTAATAAGCTAAAAACAGCCAGTTCTTATCTGAAACCTAAGAAATCATCTCCGTTTACACAAGAATTTGTGAAAGAAGAAATTGTGTCAACCTATGCAGATTTTGCAACGAAACGTGATTTTTGACAAATTCTGATTTCAAATTATGTTTTTTTCTGTTTCGTGGGTTGTTTTCCAAACTTCACAGAAGTAGTGTAAGGTTTGGTTTTGTTTTGCTCCGCACAAGGGTGGTATTCCCAAAAGCTGCCTCCCAACACTCCCTTGTATAGTAAGACTCCTCCGGCAAACAGTTCATAGAAAAAATCTAAGCTGAAATGCTTTGAGCTGTCCTCCAGAGAATCATTCCCTCTATTGACTACAGAGAAAATTGAAGGAAACGACCCCTCAGAGATAATATTACCCTTTGTGATCACCTCCCAAGTTCCTTCTGCTGAGAGAAAAGGAAACAAGCATTTGCAACAGACTCTGCACATCCTGCCAGCTTCAGTGAGAAATCTGACTAACAGTGAAGGCTCAAGAGTACATCAGACATTTGTATTCCATGTTTTGAACCCAACAGAAAATGCTTATCCAAGACTCACGGAACAGCAGGAGGTTCTCCAGAAACATGGCCACCAATTGCCATGCCTCTCCCCTTCCCATAGCCTAAGCTTTCAGGTTCCCTATGGCATAATTTGACTTAAAGCTGACAATAAGAACATTCCGTGGCACCACAATGGAAGAGAAAAGAAAAAAGAAAGTGCTGCCAACTTCACATCTTTAAAAAAAGACAAACTAAAACAACAGCCTCCCCTTCCCTGGAATGACATCTCAATCCCTTCTCCCCACTTTCACACAATCACACCAGCTTCAAGGATCCTGCAGGCTAAACGTGGACTCCAGCAAACACTACCAATACACACAGTTTTAAAAAGACAATTTCTGAAACTTAGCTCTGCAGCAAGAGCTTGAACCTGCAGCCAGCTTTGCTACACTACAGTTTATGAAGACTCCTGCATGTCCTGCAACTATGTAAGCATGGCCATGCACCAAACAAGGATTAATGTTCTACTTGCAGAAGGATGGGGTCTGGTCATACGTACCCAAGTCTATGGTGCACTGCAATATGTTTGACTGATGGCCATCTTTGCCTAACATCTCTGCAGATTTTCTTTATTTCAGTCTCTGCCATTGAAGTATATGCTTCATATTCTAAGTGTATCACTTTTTTCCCTTCAAAATTATTTCTTGTAGTACCTAAACACAAATGATTTATCAACCAAAAGGACTGAGTAAATAAATATATATTTATAATATGTACATTATATTATATACTTACTATATAACAATACATTATACATAAACACTGAGTAAAATGCAGAATGTCCAGCTATAGTCAAGGTGAGCACCATGTAAATATAAATGACCTCCCCTAATCATGGCTGTGTGAAGAGATTCTTGGAATGAGAGACATCTTTAATATACAAGGAAGAATTTACACATTATACAATACAAGTCTGCAGTCTGTAATGCCCAAGGCTGTGACATATTCTGTGGTAACTGCTAAGGTGCTATTATTGCATTTGCCCATGCAATGTTTTAAGTGCCCAGTATTCAGGAGCCCAGCAGCTCTAGGGTTTAAGCACAAAGGGGTTTCAAGATCCGTACTGTGTACATTAAGCAACAGGACAGAGCTATCAGCCTTGCCCTTCACCAGCACACAGGAACAATAGTTCTTTACTTTCAACCAAGATCTGAGATGCAGGAGCTTTCATAAAGGCATGGACCTGCAGTTTGCATAGACACAACATCCCGCTTCCCAACTTGAATAAGCTGTGTTGAAGTGGATGGGAGAATAGCTCCCAAGCAGTCCTGTACTCCAGAGCTGCTGTTCTGTTCAGCCTTAGGATAGCCACACCAGCAGGGAAGCTTCTCACCACTTTGTCCCAGTGCAACTGTCTAAGAGCTGCCATGGTCTTGTTCTAAATAATTCAGAATGGGTTTTCTAAACATCCTGGGTTAAGTCCAGGAATTTATTTATTTGAGAAGCATGAGTTTGGGGTGTGGACAGTCTAGGTTCCATTAGACTATTAACACACCCAGAGATCCAGCTCAGAAATATTAAACTCACCAATGAACAGAGACACTGCCCCACAGTATGGTGAAAGCACCAGCTCTGACACTTCATCTACAGAGAGCTTTTCAGTCTTGAGCTTGATAAAATCTTTTGGCACATCTTCACTTTCATCCATAGCTCACTAGAAAAGCTGAAACCAAACAGACTCTGTTGTTGGTTTTGGCAATACTAGCATTGGCCAACTGCTTTTTATCCTGTGCTGATGCCCCAATTGATGCAGAAAACATGCACCATCTACTTCCTCACCCCAAGAGACCAGTCTCCCTTGCAAATTCACTTCTCAGCAGACTTGCTGAGAGAGTATTAACTGCAAATATCAAGCAATTACATGGTTTTTAATGCATACAGGTTCCTTCCTGGTAGGAAAGTCTGGTCCAGTAGCACAAAACTAGAAATAGTCTCAGGCCCCAGTTTAGGAGTACAATCAACCAGCATGGACCAGTGTGCTAGTACATCTGTGGTAAGATTATCAGTCCCTCCTCCCCATCTTATCCTGAAATCAAACACAGTTTAAAACAGAGATTTCTGATAAACACAGATTAGAGTTCTGACCCTGAAGTTTAATATGCTCTTCAGGACATTCAGGATTTCATGCTATCGTGCCTGTTCCAGTGACACAGGAGATAATTCCAATTTCTCCAAGTGGAAACCAGTTATCAATTCATCTAAGAATGAGGAGGAAAAGTAGTAATTTGAGCAGCAGCAATGGAACAAGCTGCAGAAATTGCATGGACTGCCAATTGAAAGCATGCAAAGAACAAAGCTATTCTAAGCACACCTGTTCCTTTGACAGCAACAAACAAAAAAAAGGGATTTTTTTAAGCAGCAGTCAATTCTTTTTCTGTATCACCTTTTCTGTTGAAAAGTGGCTAAAGGTTTTTCATTATTATCCTATTTAGGCAAGCTGGGTATCTACCAGCAGCCAGAAACAACTATGAAAGAATAACAAGACCTAAAACCCAAATTCAGAACAATGCCTGACCTCTCTGGCTATTTTCTTCCATTTACTGCATATGTATTAATCATTTATTGGCACACCAGCTTATAGTTTCTGGTCAGCACAATTATTCTCTTTTTCGCAAGTTACGCTCCCTCAAAAGAGTAAGTACCAGGGTGGAAAAAGAGAACTGCCATCACATCTCTGGACCTAAACAAAAAAAGATTATTGGAATATACACATATATTACATATGTATATTGGATATACAGAATCCATGAGACATGTTAGCACAGGATGACACTCCATAGGAAACTAAGGAAGAAGTGATACCTACCTAACATAACCTGGGCAGATTCAGCCTCCACTAATTGGTGGGATGATGGCAACCTCGTCTCCGGGCTGCAGGACCAGGAGCTGATCTCCAAGAAGCACGTACTCCTGCCGAACAGCAAAAACCACTTGATCCCGGATGACAGCAAGCCTGAGGGAGATTGGCAGGAGCACAAATAGGTTTCTAAATAGTGCTTGCATTTAACCATGAGATTTTATTAAGCAACAAACTGGTGCACAGTCTAGGGCAGCTGAGGTAAATACCACTGAGACTTATGCAACTCTGCTTCCAATACACTTTCAAAAACACAACAAACACCCACCTCCTACTCTTGGGTTTTCTTGTGGTGGCTAAGGAGACACCAACTCAGTACGGTTTTCAGAAGTCAGGAATTGGATTTGTCACAGGCCTACGTCAGAATGAATCAATGTATAATAAAGAAGCAGGTAACTAAAAAGGTAGCAACCATCCAGTTAGGGATTAGAAGGAAAGGTTCCCCTGATTCAGTCTGGGTGGACTAGAGCAATTTTCTTACATGGCAAGAAGCACTATGGGATGCTGCTCAAGAAATCTCATGAAGATTCAGTGGTCGAAGAGTTGCTCTTCTTGTGTAACCTCACAGTCCATGAAGCTTTGGATCTTTTGTACCTACAGGTCTGAAATTTGTTGTTGGTAAATAGTGGCAACAGAACTAAGAAGGCAGATATTACGCGTTTTCTGACAAATTTTCTATATATTTTTTGATTTTACATCTGCGAGATGTTGCTGTGAGAGTCCACAGTTCTGGATAACATGAGCAGGAGGGAGTCAATTCATGACTAAGTGCAATCACACAGTCAGTATGAGGGCAACACCAATAAGATACCAGAAGAATGCCAACATTTCACTTCAGAAGATGCAGGCATGATAACTGTTATAGTTTGAGACTACAAAATCTGGCATAGACAGCAGACCTGTATTGCCTAGAAACAAGCAGGCCCACCAAGAGGGTACAAGTAAAAATCATCTGATTTCCTACCAGTCAGACAGACAAAAGTAGGCAAGGCACAGACTGAGCAAAACACAGTAGCACTGAGTCAGATGGCAGACTGAAGGGAAGGACTGTACAAAAGTAAAGCAACCCACCGAGGAACTGAGCACAACTATGGAACTGAAGCGCCCGTTAGAAGGATGGGCTCTAATTAATGTCACTTGCAAGTTAATTCATTAGGGAAAATGGGTGGAACAGAAAAGCATTGTCAAGTATGCTCAAGCTGCAGTCTGAATATCCATTATCAATGTGAATAGAAGTCTGTGGTCAATGCCCTACAACTATGCTGAGTTTTTCCAGAAAAGCTAGGAGCAGAAGCATTTTCCAAGAAGGCCACTGTGAAGCAATGGCACATGCAAAATACACTGCCCCAAGTCATCATTCACGAAAGGACAAAGTTGACAAACTATGCCAAACAGACCAAAGGTGCTGCTGCTGCTTCTGACACCAAGTAATAGGCTGCAAAGCAAAATACACTAATTCCCTACAAAACACGCTTAATTCTCAGTTCCCTGTGAGTAAAAGGACCGTGGTCTAACATTTGCGTAGAGGTTCTCATGTGGAAACAGATGCCATTGCTGAATAGTTAATTTTTTTCATAGCCTTTGAGAGTAGATCTAATAAAGAATGGTGGTGCCTAAAGGAAGACTTTGGCGCCTAAGCCCAAATTTATGGGAATTCCAGTGCATTCAGCACTAAATCCTGAGGACCTCATCCTCTGTAATACCTTACTTTTTTTTTTTTCCCTCCTTCCAAAACAGTGTTGCACCTTTGTTTATCAGACTCATTCTTGACAAGCACCTTCCCTCAACCTTAACCTGAAGAGGATTTCTGCTGACACCCTCAAAGAGCACCAGCATTGCAGGGGTCCTTACAGCACACACCTAGCGCCCTCTCAGGACCAGACTCCCTGTGAAATGCAATCAACGGTGGTGTTCTTTATTGAAAGCAGCGGTGGTTGAAAGTGGCTGAGCCTATTTTGGATGTAAGGGCTGCGTGGCTGGAAGCCTGTGTGGTAGGGCTTGAGTTCCCCTCCTGACCTGCCTTCCAGAGTATGCCCTAAGCTCAGACCAACAGCTAGCTAACAGTACAGTTAAAGATAAGTGATCAAAAGCACCTGCACATTACCATGAATGTCTTATTTATTGCCCTGGCTGTGCCTGATCCCTTCTTGAAACATCTAGCCTTCTCTACAGGTTAGTAACGTAGCTCAGTTTTCACGTGCTGCGGGGTTATCGCACTGTAGCCCTCCTGGACAATGGGCCACATGCCTTAAAGTACCCCTCAGGCTCAACTTTTGGGTACATTCATTGGATTTAGTCTTTCCTACGTACACAGAGCTACAGCATTTCCAACTGGCCACAAGACAAAACGCTTGCTGCAGGTTACAAGAACAAGGTAAGGTCACTGGTTTTATGGTATCAAAGTACAGATAGCACGTTCCAGCTCAACTCTAAATGCTGAGTTTGTATTTACAAAAAAAAAAAAAAAAAAACCAAACCCAACCACGTTAAACTCCAATGCACCTCAGCAGTAACTCTGCCGAATACCTTGGGTGAACCTTGACGATCTCCTCCCAGAGCTGCAGAGAGGTGAGCTGCCGTGGCACCGAGAGGGTCT